TTCTTCCTCAACCTTTTGGAAAGAGTTTCACTTCCTGCAGCATTTTGCTGATTTTACCATTATGACAAAAAGTGTTGGGAAATGACCTTATTTCTGCAATTGCTCTACAGGGTTGTTGGTTTTTAAGCTCCTCAGTGTCACAGGGAGTGAAATGAGCTGATTTTCTGCTCTAAATCCTTGCTGGGATTGAGCTGAGGCACTATAGGGGTTATAGTTGGAATAAAGATGGGGATTTACCCCATCTGCATTGTTTCTCATCCTGGTTGCACACCTCAGGTCTGGTTTGGGAACTTCTGCAGGTCTTCTGTACTTTCTTTTACCTCTGAACAGAAACCCACAACTAAATGTTCTCTCCTGTGTCCCTCTGAAGCCTCTTGTGACTGTAACCCTGAACATGGAATCATGAAATGGTTTGAGTTGGAAAAGACCTTAAAGCTCATCTAGTTCCACCCCCTGCCATGGGCAGGGACACTGCCAGGGTTGGGACAGCCACAGCTTCTCTGGACAACCTGTGCCAGTGCCTCAGCACCTCCAGGGAACAATTGCTTCTCTATATCCAACCTAAAGGTCCACATCCTTCTTACTTGGGGACACTAGGCCTGGATGGAGCATTCCAGGTGGGATCTCACCAGGGCAGAGTAGAGGGGGAGAGTCAAACATGATGTGTCAAAAGAAGCAGTTTGGGTTTCAGTAGGATCAATACTAGTGTGTATCCCTTTGCCCTCTGAGGGTGGTAGGAAGGGGGATGCATTTCCAAGAATTAGGTGATTCACCTGTAGGTATCTGGAGGGATGTGACACCACTGTCATCTCCTTCTTCCAGACAAAGTGAAACCAGGTGTGGTTTGGGCAGGAGGAGCAGCTTGTGTGGGTTGTGTCCCCACAACATCATCTTCCCTCTGATTCTAATCCTGTTTCTTGTTAATGGGACTCCTTTCCTGTTCTCAACTTCAAAGGCTTTGGGAGGAAACAGCATGCAGGGAAATCCCGTGGTGTTCCTGGCACAGAGATTTCCTCAGCCTTCCTGCCTGGATCTCCAGAGAAGGGGAGGGATTTTTAAGGGGAAAAACTCATCTTTTGAGGCTAAAAAAACCTTTAGGAATAATGTCAGTCGGGGTACAGAAAATGGAGAGACACAGTGGGAAATAGTTTCCTCAGTGAATAACTGAAGAGGTGCAGAGGAAGCAACTGGATCTGAGGCCAAAATCTGCTGAAGCATCAGTCAAACTTCTGCATCAGCAGAAACTGCACTTCATGTTCCAGCCCCAGGTTTTCCTAGGGTGATACATGGCTTCACTGCCTGACCTCTTTCACCCCAAACCATGGAGTGTTCATCACTCAGGAGCCCTGAGGTCTTCAGCAAGGAACCTGTGGAATCCCTGGCAATGAAAGGTGCACATGAGTTTCCACTGTTCAAGGCTCCCTCTCACAGATATTGTTTAAATCTTAAAGTGGGACATGTGTTTGCGTTCATTTCTTGCCCAGGAGGATGGGAACAAACATTTCTCATTTGCAGACTCAGTAGGAATTTGCCTATGGAGCCTAATGTGCCTCATATCAGAGTCATGGAAATTAAGATGTGTTGGTATCATTGCACAACTTTTCTGGAGCATAAGTTGGAAAAAGTGGGGTAGTATCTCAGGTATGTCAGCATGTTGTGTTTATGGATAAACTGGTGAGCAATCTTTGTCCCATGAGGCAATCAGAGCAGTAGGAAAAAGCACTAGGAGAAAAAAGCCATTCCTGTGCCTGAGTAATGCCACACACCTGAGAGTAATCATTCTGCTGAGCAAAACGATGACTTTATCTGGGGCAGTGATAGGTGGAGTGGATTTTTGTTTGATAAAGCATCACATGTGAATGTTTTGGTTCCTCCTGGTTGCCTAAGAAAGGGTATAAAAGCTCTCACCATCCTGGGCTGCTCTAACCCATTCTCCTGGCTGACTCTGTGCTGTGAAGGGTAAGTCTGTGGGGATTCCAACATTGCTGCAGCTGTGCAGGATCTGAACTGAGCTTTGGATCCAAAATAGTGTGGTTAGCAGGGCCAGGGAAGTGATTGTCCCTCTGTCCTGGGCACTGCTGAGGCACCTCCAGTGATGTGTCCAGTTCTGAGACCTCACCAAGAGAGATACTGAGGGGCTGGAGGTGTCCAGAGATGGGAATGGAGCTGGGGAAGGAGCTGGAGCATGAGGAGAAGGGGCTGGAGAACTCCTGAGGGAGCTGGGGGGGCTCAGCCTGGAGAAAAGGAGGCTCAGGGGGAACTTCTGCTCTCTCCAACTCCCTGCCAGGAGGTACAGCCATGTGAGATCAGGCTCTGCTCCCAGGGAACAAGGGACAGGACAAGAAACAACTCCAAGCTGTGCCAGGAGAGGCTCAGGCTGGACATCAGGAGGGCACACAGGGCAGCCCTGGTGCTAGCTGAGGTGTTGGAAAGCTTGAGGAATAACACAGTCATTAACCACTAGGCTTGTCTGAGTCTGAAGTCTCCTGTTACCTCAGCAAATGCCTCTGGGCGATGCATTCTCTGCTCAGCCCCAGTTACCTCTTCCTGAGAGCTGGAATAACAATGCCTTGCCTCATACAGCTGTGCTGATTACTGGTGGTGCAGAATCAGCTCAGGAGGTTACTAAATAAATGTGAGCCACTGTTTCTGTGCTCTTCTACAGCTATTTAGAAAAGATTCCAAAGGGAATGGTGGGAAGGAGAAGTGGTCAAGGATAGAGGGAGAATTGAGTCCAAATACACAGGTTTTTTGGTTGTTAATGATGGGTTTATGTATCCAATTGGCTCCAGGAGACCAAAACAGAGCCTTCAAGGGGGAGAAGGGCATGAGGAGATGGCAAAGGGCCAATGCTGCTGAGACAAACCTCCAGCCTCCTGATCTCTTTGCTGTCTCTCATTCTTTCTCTTCCAAGTGCAACCTCCAGTATGTTGTTATCTGAGCTCTGTGCTGTGTGTTCCAGGTTTCTCTGCACTCCTACATGATGTCTTCCTACAGACAGATGCTCAGCTCCCGCTGCCTCGCGCCCTGCGAAGTCACCTGCCCCCAGCCAGTGGCAAACGCCTGGAACCAGCCCTGTGTCACCTCCTGTGGGGATTCCAGAGCTGTGATCTACCCACCCCCTGTGGTCATGACCTTCCCAGGCCCCATCCTCAGCTCCTGCCCTCAGGAGAGCATCGTGGGCAGCTCAGCACCATCCAGCACTGGGAGCTCATTTGGCTCCGTGAGCTCTCTGGGGCAGTGTGGGCCCTACAGCTCTAGGAGCTTCTACAATTATGGGAGGTCATATTCTTCCTATGGATCTGGTGGTTATGGGTTTGGGAGCTGCAGACCATGTTAAATCTGCAAGGAACAAGGAGCAAAGAGGAATGACCCAGCACAGAGGGAGATGTGGCTCTACAAACTCTGTTCCTGTCACCACTTACACACCTACATGTCAGCCTCAAGCTAATGTTTAGTTTTCTGACTCTTCTTTCCAGTGGCTCCTGATAATAAGGACTCAAATTCATCATATCAATGATCTTTGGCTGGTTGAAAGTGGAACAAGATTGTGTAACTCTTCCTAGGCTGAGAAAAGCAGGAGTAATGCATATGGAATGCTTAGCTCTGGAGCAATTCTTTGCTTGCAACCTTTAATGAGACCCTGGCAATATTTTACCTGTGTTTTTCATTCCCAGTAAGATCTTCTGCTTCTTCCTTTCCCATTAAACTATTGTGCATCAAAATCCAGAGATTTCTTGTGGGGTTTTTTTTCCACCCATCATTTTGGGGTTGTTTTTTTACCATTCTGGTAGTGAAACATGACAGTATTTGCTTTCTTTCCACACCTGAGCCTGGAAGGTGAGCAGATCCTTTC